AGTTACAGATGGAGAGCTTCTTTTTTCAAAGGGGCATGGATAAGTAGGGAGTGGGTCAGAAGCAAGATGAAAGCATAACATTGAAAAGGAGTAGGCTATTTTGTTCTCTATCATAAGAAATAAAGGAAGTTCCAGTGAGAGCTGAGAGAATGTTTAAATACGACGATATAAAGCAAAAGTTTCAACCTTGAGAGTCAAGATATTTTTCTATGAAGAAGGGAGCAAATGTTAAGGGTAGACCAACAGGTGTGCTAAGCAGTTTGAGCAGAGCCTCAGGATTCTAGAAATAGGCATCAACGAGAATGAAAGATTACCTTAGTCATGTGAGGAACTGTGGGTCCTGCTCAAAGTCCTGCTGTGTAGGTAGTGCTACTGAAATTTAAGAATATTTGTAAAATTTTTTCCTAAGTTAATAGCTCAAAACTACATTTCAAAAATTTTCAGTCATTACTTGAAACCAACAATGGATCAGTAAATTATTAAGGGATATGAAACTGATAAATAATGAGACATAAAAACTTCATCAAAAAATGCTTAAAATGAGTAAGGAAAGAAAACATAGTTATCAAACAAGCTGAGTTACTTAAATTCAACTCACCAACATCAACACCAATGGTAATGCAAAATAGCATATAAACTTACACATCCATTGTTAAATTTCATAATAGGTTTGCTATTTATTTCATTATTTTTACCAATGGTAATTTGCTCAGTGCACAAATATGATTTAATATTTTTATTAATATCTGCAAAGTTTGATTTTACAAAGGTCATTAGGTCTATGTATGATAATCTTTTACTCTTGCCTTACTCAATTTTGCTGCCAATGAATTTCTTCTCCTCTTTTGCTAGAGTTGATGTGTAAAGTGATTACATTCCCTGAGCAGAAAGCCTAAATGGAAACCCTGGGAAATCTCAGATCCTTCCCTCTACTAGACCAGGAAATCCACAATAGTTTTGGCCTTTAATCCTTTCTAACACATATTTGTCTTTCAGATGTTTGATTGAATTAATGTGTGTTAAATTTTGTGACTTTTCTTTTTCTTCATAGAAATCATTTTTTGATTGTTAACATAAGCTCAGTCACTCGGTCATTTTTTAAACTTTCAATGGGAACTGCAAACTAAAATGTATTCAATCATCTAAAAAGATTATTTATACTGAGATTCCATCTCACTGCAGTCAGAATGGCAATCATCAAGAATACAAGCAACAATAAATGTTGACGAGGATGTGGGGAAAAAGGTACATTCATACATTGCTGGTGGGACTCCAAATTGGTGCAACCACTATGGAAAGCAGTATAGAGATTCCATATTGCTAAACCATGAAACCAACCTAGGTGCCTTCAACAGGTAAATGGATAAAGAAACTGTGGAATATATACACAATGGAATATTACTCAGGATTAAAGAAGAATGAAATTATGGCATTTGCTGGTAAATAGATGGAACTGGAGAATATCATGCTAAGTGAAATAAGCCAATCCCAAAGAACCAGAGGTCGAATTTTCTTTGATGTGCGGATGCTAATTCACAATAAGGTAGTGGGGAAAAATAGAGGTATTTTGAACTAGACAGAAGGGAGTTAAGGAAGGGGAGGGGGCATAGGTGTAGGAATGATAGCAGAATGAGTCAGACATTATTACCCTATGTGCATATATGATTACATAACCTTTGCAACTCTACATCATGTACAACCAGAAGAAAGAGAAGTTACACTCCATTTATATATGATGTGTCAAAATGCATTCTACTGTCATGTATAATTAGAACAAATTTTTAAAAACCACCTCACTTCATTAAAAAATAAAAATAAAAGATTGTTTACAATACACAAATCATAAATCTTGTGAACCTACTTGATGAGTACCTTTTGCAAGTTTCCTAGTATACTTGGAGTAAAACTTACAACTGAAGAAGATATAGTGCCAGCTACCTTAAATTTATTATACCTAAATAATATATAGTGTGATTTTAGAATAATTTCTATGCATTCTCAGATTATGCTGATATGAATGTTTTCTTCATAAAGATATGAATAAAATGTTAAGATATAACAAAAATAAACATTGAATTCAAAGAAAAAAATAAATAGTGCAGATGCCAGAAACAAATCAAGTAAACAAAGTTAACTGAATGTGATAGTCCACACCTGTATTTCAGCTACTCAGGTGGCTAAGGCAAGAGGACCACAAGTTCAAGGCCAACCTGGGAAACTTAGGGAAACCCTGTCTCAAAAAAAATAAAAAGGGATAGGATGTAGCTCAGTGAACAAGCACCCTGGGTTCAATCCCTAGTACCACCAAAATAAAAAAGAAAGAAAGAAAGAAAGAAAGAAAGAAAGAAAGAAAGAAAGAAA